TATATATATATTTTGGATTTATTGTATTTTCTATTATATTTTGTACCACACATGTTTTTATTTCAAAGCTTATGATATGGAGCATTGGAAATAAAAATCCCAGCAGGTCAGAACTGGCCTGTATCTGTTGACTTTACTCATATTGCCAACACCCTTAGCTAAGCTACAGCTCCATGCCAGCAAGCCTTACTGTAGCTGTTACTAAGTTTTCTCAGTTATGCCTTCATCCATACAATATACATATTTTTACCCATTTATACAGGGAAATTTTACTGAAGCGTGTCTGAGACCTTTGCTCAGAGATGCATGTAGTACTATACCCACCACCCCAGCCAAATCATAGATCATTGCCTAAAAGCTCAGTCATGTACTTGTTTTTGAAGAATATTTTTCTTTTGTTGCCTCTTCATAGCTAAGGTTTCTGAAAAGCTACATGTCCATTGAGGTCATTTTGAAGTACACTAAAAGCATCCATAGGGAAGGAGGTGCTGGATAGTCATACATGATGGTTAGTGAAGATCTAAGTGTATTATCACGTAACCTATAACACTAAAACTTACAGAATTAAATGATAGAATTATGTGACAGCGTTGAATTCCTTCATCAAGTTATCATTTTCACCCTTCTTCAGTCCCTTTATTGCTAAAGTCTGTGTGATTGAAAGCACAATATAGCTGTGTTTATGTCCACATCATGCTGGTGTAGTCATGACGTCAGACAGTACAAATATTTTCAGGTAAAATTAGGCAAAGATGATAGGCAAATACTGTAGTTACTGTGCTGTTACTGTGTTTACAGTAAACAGAAAATATGCCTCATGCTGGGGAAAAACAAAGTACTAAATTAAATACGATGGGTCCTAGAAGCACTCAAGAATAAATCTCCAGGTCTTGATCATACTCTGACAATTGTTCTTTGATAAGAGATACAGAATTTGTCCTAAGCCTCTAATAACACTTTTCCAGCAGTAACTCGAGGGGTAATAGCCATAGGAAGCTCGGCATTGCTAATGTTCTGTAGGTCCCATTAAAGAGGGTAGTAAAACTGAACCAAATAATTAAAGGCCAGTAGGTCTTCTATTAAGGATTTATTTTTTTAAGGGTCATCTGTTTGGAAGCAGGATTCTAGACCATATTCAGTATGGATTTAGAAAAGACAGGTCTCATTTCACTAACCTGTTAGATCCATTCTTTCTGTAATCTTGTGCTGTTGTGATGGAATATCTTGCCTACAGAGATCTGAACTTCACGACCCCTGACCACCTACCAGCACGTCCTCAAGACAGCACCTGTATTTGCCTCCTCTCTCAGGCACCTTACTCTTTATCTACTGCCATGATTCCCCCAGCTTGTTTCCAAATAAAAGCACTAAGGCTATCCTGCACCTGAAATCAGTGGCCCTCCTTATCGTAAAACAAATATGCTTGTTTTCCTATACATACTATTCTGTATATTAATGTTATCTATTTTGTTTATTCACATATTGTATTGATCATCATCAAACTGCAAGGCACCATAGATAAGGGGCATGTGCTAAGAAAAATAATAGAAATAAAAATGTCTTAAGGAACTAAAATTAAATGATATTATTATGTGATGTCTTACTGGTTTCATATTATTTTAAGACTGGTATTGGCAATGCTATTCTTCAATTCTAAAATGCACCCTGATGTGAAAAGTCAGCACATTTTTTGTTAAAGTGTTCTTAATTTACAGTTATACAGCACTAATGTAATTTCCTCTCCTTTACTTTCAAGACATTTAGTAAAAAATATTTAAATTACTAAAGAAGACAGTACGAACTAATAACTCTCACCTGGGAGGTTCTCAATGGCAGCATCAATATCAGTTCCAATTCGAGAGCTGACAGGGCAGAAAGCCACAATAACATCACAGTCTTCTTCACTCTCACGCTCTTTAATTATTATGCTTCTCTGAATTCTTTTAATGAAGTCGATGTGAGCATTCAGGGTCTGTCCAAGAACCCGGACATGGAGTTTAACTGGAAAGATATTATACAGAGATATACCACATAAAATGAAGAAAATTAAACAACGCTCCTGAAATGAATTAAACTAAAAAGGCTGAAGTCAAAACATAGTGTTTATCCTTTTTTTCTTTTTAGCCTACAATTAACAATTCAATATAATTCCTAATATAAGATATCATTGAACATAGTTGGTCATGAATTTTAATTAACAAACTCTTTGAGGTAAGCAGGAAATTCTTTATACAGCCACAAATATATAGCATATACAGGTGGGTAGCTGCGTCAGCATGCGTAGGCTGCAAAGGAACAAGTAATAGGTTTATTCCATGCTGAAAAAAAGAAGAAAGAGAACACAACGCTTTGGCCTTAGAGCCTTCTTCAGGTGAACGTTGTGTTCTCTTTCTTCTTTTTTTCAGCATGGAATAAACCTATTACTTGTCCCTTTATAGCATATACAGCTACTGACAAAATAGAACTAGGAGGCCAATTATTATTGCATGGAAAAGCAATCCAGGCTATGCAAAAAGTACATTTAAAACCTAAAAACAGGAGACATGTCTTTACAAAAATAGGTTGTGGGAGTATGGAATAAATTACTTAGCCATGTTGTTGATATGAAACCCTGTTTTATTTTAAGAAATGATTGGGTTAGATCCTTGAATTAGCTGCTGACTGCCAAATGGACTAGACAGACCAAATAGAGTTTTCTCATTTGTAGCCTTTAATATACACATCTGTGATAGATGCAAGTCACCCATCTCCTCATTTATGTAGTTTGGTTCCTAATTAGTCTTGTACTGAAGCTTTAATTCTGAAGCAGTTTTCCTAGACACACTATTCATGGCCTGTGAAAATTGTACTGTAGTGCCCAACGGCTTGTGAGTATCTGGCCATAGGTCCAATCTTCCTCAATCAGAATCATGCGCCGCCCTCACATATTCTGTGATAGGATGAGGAATGCCATGTGTGCATGACAGCCCTTTTTGTCCTTGGGTTGATGTCACTCCCTGTTCTTGTGCTCACCAATGTTGAAGGTGATCTTCCTTTTCCTCCTTTCTTGCAATTTTATACAATATTTTCTTTCTTTTTTGTAATTTTATGTGGTTGCATTATAGAATTAACATTGCTTTTATTTTTTTTAAGGAAAGAGTTATCCAATATGAATATTCTTTCTTAGATAAAATGTTAATAAAGTGCCATCTGGGTTGTAGTATTATTCTACAACAGACTCATCTGTGCCACGCTGCTTAAATCTCAAAAAAGATCCAGTTGTTCAGTGATTCAAGTTCTTGTTGAAGCTCAGTACAAAAATCAGAAAAAAAAGAGTAGAATAAAAGTAAAAACAAAAGAGATAACTGATTAGTTTGGCATTTTTCCACTGGTATAAATTAAATGCTCATTTCATGGATTTTCCTTTTATCTGGCTCGTACTTTTTTCAAAAGTGATTTGCAGTCTATTGTGTGGCACCGTCCTAATTCAATCAGTTAATGGGTACATGAATTCAGGAGGAACAATTTAGTATAATCAATCAAACCTATCCTCCATGCACTTAAGAGTAACATTTTCAACCCAATTCAAATTTGCCAAAATTTAAAATGATGATACCATTCAATATAAAATATACAGTGTATAATGTATAATATGACAAAATATACAATATATATAAAATTGTAAGGTGAAAATAATTACCTGGCAGTGTGGAGAGTATGAAGCGAAGCTGTAAGAAAGATAAAACCTTTTATATTTAATATAGTAAATCAAATGTTTCAAGCAATGTTTTTTTATAATATAGATTTACAATTTAGGTAATAGCCTGTAGAATTTTTATTTATTGAAATTACCAGTAAGACATTTTAGACAACCAAATATATATATATATGTTGTTGATTAGAACAGAGTTATGTTTTTTGTAAACCTTATTAGCAGAAGAACCAACAGACTGTCCACCAGGGGCAAACATGTTGTGCGTGATATAACTTTAGCGTATCTTAACTCTCTGACTTTGAACGAATCTATAGTTTTTCTTTTTATATTTCTATTTTATTTTTCTTTTAGAAATTACAGAAAATATTTTAATCTTGTTTCCGTCTTTACTTACCACTAGATGGCACCCAAACTGCAAGATAAATACTCCCTGTCAAAATGATATTGGAAGGCAAACGCAAATTAACACAAACTCACCCTTAAATCCAAAATAGAAGTATAAGTGAGACTTCTTTTGTAAAAATATAATTGTATCCTGCTGTCAAAATATATGTTTTGTTTTTTGAATCTACAAATTTAGCTATTGTAGAAAAAGATGACCTAAAATAGGTTTCAATATGCTGAATTTTAAAAGGAAAACTTGTAAAGGAAAAGAAGAAGGAACACATACAGGTAGTCTTAAGCATTCATACACAATTCTACAATATGTTATGTAAAGATCTTTGAAGTCATACAGCATATCATTCAGTATGACACACTCCCTGTTGCCCAATAAAGCACTCCACCACAGAATCATTAATTAGACTGCCTCCTACATATTGACAAAAATCCAGTTTACAGCTACAGTTTTTGAAGCACAGAATGTAAATCTGGAGTAGTATGTCATTACAATTTAGACGCATGTCTGCATAATGCATACAGTATATTAAATGAATACTTTTTATTTACTTTTTATACTACTTATCTCTCCCTTTTCAGCCCTGTTTCATTGTTAGGTGTCCAACTCCTCACACCTTCAGTTCCAACATACTGTATCACCAGTGTCTCTTCCCCTGCCCCTATCCTCCTTTCCTGCTGTCCTTGTAGAAGCCTGTCCAGCCACTGAAATTCACTACATCACATTGGTGTGAGTCTTTCCTAGGTCCAGGATTCCAGATTCCATGCCATTTGCAGCTACAGACTGCCTCCCTGTCACTTGCCCCCTCTTTGCTGCTGACCATCAGGTTTATTTTTGGCCCTTAACCTTGTTGTCCACACTACCCTCAAGCTCCCACCCACAGCCCTGGCAGAGACCATCTAAACCATTCTTGACTCCTGTTTTCCTAAAAGGGTCATTGCTTTTGCTGTTATTTTGGGAGTTCCTGCTGGACTCTGTCCTCGTTCTTCTCATTTTCTCTATTTTGTAATTGTGTGTTTTGGTATTTCCAGTTTTTAAAAATAAGGCAAAAAGAACTCATAAAGATGGTTAAATCAACAAAATTTAAAAAATCCAGGAAAAAGAGATGAACAATGAAGATTTGAAATGTAATTTGAAAAAATTGGTAGTATATTTTTATATATTCAAAAATTTGGTTTATCTGATCACTCAGTAAAAAAATGTTTTAACGAACATATGAACAAAGAGTATAAAATATAGCAATTTACATAGAGCTAAAATTACTTGTTAACAATTTGAAATTAATACTTACCACCAAAGTGAAGACCTGAAAGAAAAAAATACAGTGATTTTAAATTGTTTAATATGACATAAAATATTTAAAAATTATAATAAAT